CATGGTATTCAAGAGACTGCCACTTGAAAGATTTTTCCAGAGCAGGTTTAAGTTCTCACTGATTAGTTTTTGGTGAAGTTGTAAATGAACTGTCAAAGGTGGAGCAAAAAGATGAGGGAAGTTACAGTAGGAGAAATAACTGTTGTCATTATGCTTAAAAAAAAAACAAACAACCAAGAAGAAAAAGAAACAAAGTCAGTAGTTGTAAAACATCATCTAGAATTTATGGGGGAGTTATTTGCATGTTCTTTTTCTTTAGTTTGACTTCCTGTAAAAAAAGATGTCACCTTTAATGAAAATCTGGCCAGCCCTATATTTCATTTTAATACACTTGTGTCTGTGATTGCTTCTAGTGTGCCAGTTAAGTGATTTTTGTTTTCATCATATTTTGCTGCATATGATAAATTATACAACAAGAGGGGAGGACTTAATCTTCCTTCAAGCTGTAAACATTGGAGATCTTAGTTTGTAGTATTGCATATTTAATAGATGTACGTGATTATTATGGCTACTGCAGTTTGTGGTAGCGTTCAAAAGTGAAATGAAAAGAAAATATTTCGAACTTCACTTTTACAGAATTATTTCTCTGAAATGCACTTGAAAATAAAACATGTATTGTGCATTTTGGCATAAAGCCACCAACAAGTAATGAATGAAAAAAGAGAAGAAGCTAAGATGTGAGGGAAGATATAAACTCCTTAAAAGAAGATAGTAAGTAACCAAACCCACAATTTTATAGTAGTTTATTATTATCAAGTATTTCAACTTTGATTTGTGTTGGTTTTTAGATTTGTAAGATTTTGTTTTTATTAAATATACAAGACTACTGACTGTAGATAAAATTGTGGAAAACATCATCTGCATGTACTTTACTTCAGACCCTTTTTTCCCTTTTCCCAGCACATTTATGTGGGGTACCAGATCATTTCTGGAGGGGTGCAGTGCTTACACTAGTACACCTTAAAAGTGATAGTGATTGTTTTGTTTTAGGGGTTTTTTGAGTGTGTTGAAACAGACTTCTTAGTGCTGCCAGACATTTTAGTTTTGCACAGCTCTTTCAAGGAGAGCACCAGACATGAGCTCAGCTGGCTGGAGCGTGGTGCTGATAATGCCAAGGTTGCAGGTTCCATCCTTGTATGGGCTGTTCACATAAGAGTTGGACTCGATGATCCTCATGGGCCCCTTCCAACTCAGGGTATTCTGTGATTCCTGCTGCTTCATGTAGAAGCAGAAATTCTAATGCTTTATAGAAAGCTTTTTGCGAAACACTGAGAGGACAAATAATAAAGCATTGCACCTTTGTATCCTTCAATACTTTTCCAGAGGCATTAAATGGTGGAATCGTGTAGGTTGGAAAAGATCTTTGAGTCCAGCCATTCCCCCAGCACTGCCAAGTCCAGCACTAAACCATGTTCCCAGGTGCCACATTCACATGACTTTTAAATCCCTCCAGGAATGGTGACTCCACTCCTTCCCTGGGCAGTCTGTTCCACATGTAATCTAACACATGAAATCTTCCATGTGAAATCAAAAAGAGGAAAAGAAGAAGGTAGTTAATGTAGACTGGAGTTACTGGGAGGCTTTAGCATAGACTTGAGCTTACTCTTATTCCCTCAGTATCTGCAAAGAACTGTGTTTCTGTTGAACTGCAGGTTTAAACTTTTTTAGTTTCTTATATTACAGGGTCAGCCATAGGCTGGGTGCATCAAAGTGGGATATATTTATTCTGTGCTTTTTCACTCTCTGTGTTTTCTCAACTGCAGTTGGGTTGTAGACAAATTTTGCAAGTAGTCAGTAACTACTGGGTTTGGTGTTGGATTTCTTTAATATGAGGGAAGAGATTGCTATGTGGAGATTAAACATAGTGTTGGTAAGTGATGGCAGGTTGCCTAAAAACATTTGTTAAAAGCAAATTGCGTAGTTGTAACCAATTTCACGAAGAAAATCATCAAACCAAGTGTTTGGTTCTTTTAGCTGGCTCAAAACCATTTTGAAAATGTATTAATGAAAGATACTCATTAGACTTCTCAATTGCAATATGTGTTCTTACAGTTAGTTTTCAAAACATCATTCAAACTCTCTCCTCTATGTATTTAACTTAAAATATATGACTTCTGTTTTGCTATGTAGGACTGTGTAGGTTACCTGTTGACACAACTCACTGGAGTACATGTTTTGATTTTGGGATGCCTCCACTGCCCAGTTTTAACTGACAGAATTTTGGGAAATGCCTGAAGCTGTTCACAGGAGCTTATCCTTAGGAACTTGAGTAATAATATTTTTCTATGTTTTCTTTCTTTTGGCTCAACAATTATTTCACTATTCTATACTGAAGGACATTATCCATTTTAGAACATAACAAAAAGAAATGAATGTATCAGTGTAGAACTCTTGCTCTCTGTAATCCCTGGACCTCTGATTAAGGTGGTCTTTATGATGTAATAATTACTGTTACTACCTCTTGATTAGAGACTCAAAGTCAGTGGTTCGGGTTATTTCAGATAGAGAAACTTGTTACTATGAAGTGGTTATTTATCCTAGTCATTTACAGAAGATACAAAGCCTGTTTCCCTGAACACCGGAGGCAGCAGGGGACAGTTTTGCTTGTAACTGAGTTTCTTTGCAACCCGAGCTTGTCCCCAAAAAATAGTAGTGTGGGGAAGTTTTCTCAGGGTAGCATATAGGGTGTTTCTGTTACCTCTTGTTACCAAGTGTATAGATCCTTGACTGTGGTCTGTCTGCTTGGAGCTTTTAGCTTTTTGATCCAAGATGTGGCTTGATAGTCTTGTTTTCTCTGGAAACCAGATTTTTTCTCCTCGATGTATTTTTGTTGTCACAACCTTGTTTTCCTGATCTTATCTTAGTGATCTTATCTTAGGTCTTATTTGTAAGCATACCAGCAGTATTGACCTGATGATGGAAAAATATTTTTATGGCTTAGTAGATCTCTGACTAATGTCCAGAAAACATTGTGCATCAATAAAAGTAGTCTGATGGGTCAATAAAACTTTGTCAAAACCTTCTCAATCTTTACTCAAAAAGGCATATTAGAGGCAAGGCTGTAATTCTCTTGGGAATGAGATTCTCAGCATTGAGTGATAGGACTTTACTGAAGGACTGGAAGAGTCACTGTTTATACTGTCTGATGCTCATTTGTCTTGAAGATCTGTTGCTGTCTCCATAGTTATTTTTTTTTTTTAACTCTTTGGCCAGATTAGAATTTGGAACTTACCAGGCTTCTCTGGAGTGCTCTTGGTCTCAAAGCTAACATAGGTGCTTTAGCATTGTTTTACTGCTTTAACACATTGTATTCTCCACTGTGTTGGTGAAATCTGTTCTGGGTTTAGACTAGAGAGGAAAAAACCAGAATGGCCTAGCTGTTATTCAGATTATATATTTCATAATGATAAAACCCTATACCCCTTAATTTTGTAAGCACATTTGACTTTCTTTTTCCTTCACAATCTATGTGTGAATCTATATGAAGAGCATGCTACAGGACTCATCCTTTTAGCTATTCAGAACAACCAGTTTCCTAATCTTGGAGTAGGAGAGAAATACTGGTGCGGTGAGAGGGAGGTTATAATAGGTGGTTTTCAGTGGGTTTTCATGCCACAGGCTTTCCATCATTGAATTGGTACATATTTTGTTTGAGTGCACCACAGCTGACCTGGGGAGAATCCCTCCCTCCCTTCCATGACAGGGATGCAGGGAGTCCCCAGTTGAGTAACTTTAACACAGCTGTGGTTGCAGTTACTCAGAAGCTCTATTCTGGGTCATTTCTCCAGGCTGTCATGTAATAGAAAAGCACAGCTGCCTTGGGCCCAGGGTCTGAGGTGCTTTAACCTTTCTCATTTGACAGCAGAAAGCAAATAAAGGTGAGCGTGGACAGGATTTCAGGGGTGAAACTGGAGTGGATGCTCTTTTATTAGCATCTTCCAGTTGTTTATTTGAATACTTTGGATTTCTGGGACTCCCACAAGGCTTTTTTTGTCAAAAAAACAGTCCAGCATTAAAAGACTGTGTAACTAAAATTGTGGGTGCACTGCTTTGTATGTGAATATTTTGTATCTCTTGGATATTGGAAGAAATTCTTCCCTCTGAGGGTGGTGAGGCTGTGGTGCAGAGAAGCTGTGGCTGCTCCATCCCTGGGAGTGTTCAAAGCCATGTTCGGTGGGACTTGGAGCAACCTCGCCTAGTGGAAGGTGTCCCTGCCCATGGCAGGGGATTGGAACTGGGTGATTTTTAAGGTCCCTTCCAACCCAGACCATTCTGTGATTTCTTTTCCTCTTCAAACTGGAAATCCCAGTGCTGAATTAGGCACTGAAGAGAAAGGCTCTTCTTGAGGTTAGGAGTGGGATGGCAGGAGGGACAGAGGAGGAATCCTGTGGAGAGTTACAGTTAGAACCTATTAGCTATTGGAAAGGCCAGCGGGAAGCATTTATGAATCTTTTTCCTTATCTATGTGTGTAGTAGAGGAAGAAAAATATTCCCTGCCTGGTTGTGCTCTGCCTCTGTTCACAGGGAGCTTCTGTGGAAAAAACTGTTCAGCTACAGAAGGAGTGAAATTTGTCATGCAATTCCCTCATAATGTGTGTGTGTTTACTGAGGGTCCTGGGAGCCCTACAGGGCAAGGACTGAGTTTTATGCTTGTGGGTTTGCACATCGGAAAGGCTGTTTTCTGATGTATGGTTCTAGTTGCAGTTAGATGTGTGGGTTATTTTGGAAGCTTATGCTAAAATTTGATATGTAGTAAAATGCAGTTACAGTGGGCTGAATATTCTCAAGTAGAGCAAAGGTGTGATGGCAGCTTATTTTTTTTGCCTTGTGCTTTCAAGCATGCTAGAAATCCTAAATATAAGCTTGTTCCTCTTGGTAAATGCTTGGAAAGGAGTAGAAATTCCCATAGATATATATATATATAATCATAGATTTTTTTTCCTGAGTGTCATTATTATTCCTTTACCGTATTTATGTTTTCCTTTTTTTTTTTTTTATAGGCAGTTGCTGGTTACTTTGATATATTTTTTGAGAAGAACTGTCACAACAAGGTATTTGGGGTTATGCATTTTGAAAATGTCTCTGAGAGATGATGATGGTGTATTTTTTTTCTGCTTCGAGGTGTTTGGCAGAGAATCTGTTTTGCTGTAGCAAAGACTTCATATTCGTGTGTGTTTGGTGAATGATTGATGTGGTGTGATATCAAAAAGGTTGTTCTTAATCAAACTCTTGAACTCTTCCATTGCAGGTCTCATTTTCCACTGGTCCCCAGTGTACCAAAACACACTGGAAACAGACAGTTTTTCTCCTGGAGAAACCAATTCCTGTAGAAGCAGGTATATTTAAATTCAGTTCTGGTGCAACAACGGTTGTGTTACACTGCTGTTACCATTAAATTTACACCTGAAATACTTTAAAAACTATAGAAGTGTTAAAAAGAACTAGTAAATAAATATTTCAGCTACTGTTGAAGAAATTTTTTTGTCTCAGCAAAGCACTGAAGGTATCTATGTGTACAAAATTAATGTTAAAACCACTCATAAATGTATGCATAAGTATGTAAGTGGGCATATATCTTCTGCTTGTATAGCTCCATACTGTAACTTTGGTGAAAGAACTTCTATATCAAAGCATTTATGAGGCAGAAAAATGTAAGACAAGTACACTGCTATTAATAGTCTCCTAATTTTAACATTGCTAATATTCCAAAGTATCAGATTGGTCAAGTGATTGCACAGTATTTTCCTTAGCAGTCCTGAACTATGCTGTATTTGTCAAATGCATCATGAATATACACATGGCTTGTACCTGCCACTGTGGGATTCCTCTGTAAATTGAAAACAATTTTAAAGAACTCACAGCCATGCACTTGATCCATTTGAAGTATCGAATATGTTAGTTTGGTACACTGTAAATTTTTATGAAGTGGTTAGTACTGTAATAAGTTTCACCTGGAATTTGATGCAAGTAAAAAGTTTTTTGTTGTCATTAGGGATAAGTAACATTTAGATAACAAATTGCTGAAGTAAGGTTTTGAAGACTAAAGCAATGCTTGTTAGTGGTTTTAATTAATTCTATTTGGAAAGTCTCAAATGTACATTTTTATACAAGTAGTCAAATATTTCTTGCTTTATAGGCACAAGTATATTCATGACCATCATAGAATAGCAGGTCAAGAATTAAAAGTCTTGGCTTGTATTTCTATAGAACGTTTTTGTAGACTCTCCATAATCTTTCTGTGATCAAAGGAAGTGGTTACATTTTTATGCTGTTATTTTATTTTTGTCCACTTAGCAACTAGATATTTACTCACCACTGTTGAACTCTTATGCAGTGGTGAATTAGTCATCTTTGAGGGCCATTTTTCTTTACAGACTAGCAGGACCAAGGGAGGAACTCAGAATGGGGCTCATTTCTGCTGGTGGGTTAATGAACTCATGGTAATACATGGCCCTGACCTGAACAGTTTATAAATAGATCGGACATACTGGGGGGAAAGCATGCAAAAAGTTATGTGGATGCTGCATAAACACTTGAGGTCAAAAGGCTTAGAGGTGCTATAGAGAAGTATTGACATAGATGGAATATTATCTCTTTTAACATACCTAATGATCAATATACAGTGGTGAGAGCAGCATTTGCACTCAATTAAACTGCTTTTACAGTTGCTTCTTCCAGCTGTCAGCCATGGCAACCAGGAGCTTCCTTCCTAAAGGCACTGTGGTCAGTGTTATCTGACAAATCATTTCTGTCTTTCATGCTTCAGCTTTATATTCCTAAATAATTTTTATCTGCAATTTCTTTGGCCCTGTCACTTCTAGGGGTGCAACTGTGCCTTGGTGCATTTGTACTTGGCTTGTGTTCTCTTCAGATTCTCTTTCTAGACAAGGCTGACTGAGGTCTCCTTTGCTGCTGCTCATTAAATTTCAATGTCATAGAGTGCAAAGTGAATTTTTTTTAAGTGCAATGACATTTGTTAAAATATGCATATTACATAGATCCTTTGACATTTACCAAATGTGTGAAATTACTGGGAAGTGGTGCCTCAAACTCAGATCTCTAGTCTAGGTGCGGTGACTTTCTGAAGACAACTGCAGAAACAGTGTGCTTTGAAGCAGTGAACACGACCCAGCTGACCTTCAAAATCACTTGTGCTATAACTCTTTTCCTTTATTTTTATTAGTTCATATTTCTTGAAATTATTCCCATAACAAATCTTGTTACAGCTATGTTTCTCTTTCTTTCTACCTGTCCCCTTCTCTTTGTAATTGAGTTCCCCTTTCTCATCCTTTTACCCATTGTCTGGTTTTATATCTTATGTAAAGGATCTACCTATTGCTTCTAGTGTTAGAGAACACTAGGCACTTCCTGATACAGGAACGTCTTAATTAAGGTGATTTTCTTGGAAAACCATTCCCTCTGACATTGATCCTTCTCCTTCTTGTTCCAAAAATCTCTTTCCCTTAAGACATATTTGAAGTGCAGATTTCCCTATTTTTCTTTTTTATCTTTTTTTTCCTTGTCAGAATAGTGACTTGAATATTCATCTTGATAATTTGTGGTTGACCATATTTTTTGTTTCTTCAGTCTTTCCATTTTATCAGCTGAACAAACTGTTCAAACTTATTTTGCAGTATACTTAATTTATATTTATATTTGCACTTCCAGCTGTTTCTTATCTGCCACTTGTTAATGAACCAGCAATGCTTGTTACTATTTTTGCTGTACATTGCATCAGCCTCCACGTTGAACTGAGCTCCATTCCAGTTTTGGGGAAACTTTGTCTTCAAATGGACTTTTCTGAATGCAAGTTAATGGAAGACAGAAGTAACTGTATTAAATTAAAAACATTTGCATCATTTGAACGTTTCAGCTTTACATCCATCCCTCTGCTTACCCAGCTTTACATCCATCCCTCTGCTTACCAGTATTCATCAACCCTCCATATAAATTCTTATAATCAGAAAAATATGTATGGCAATGGGAGAAACAACAAAGAAAATGCACTTGTGACTAAATGTGTTCATAGAATCATTTAGTTTGGAAAAAGTCCTTTAGGATTGAGTTCAGCCATTAACCCAGCACTTCCAGGACCACCACTGAACATATCATTATCTGCCACATGCGGGTGGCTTGTTCCAATGCCCTTTCCATGAAGGAATTATTCCTAATGTCCGATCTAAACCTCCCTTGGTACAACTTGAGGCTATTTCTTCTTGTCCTGTGGCTTGCTACCTCTGAGGAGGGACCAACTCCCACCTGGCTATAACCTCCTGTCAGGGAGTTGTAGAGAGTGAGAAGGTCCCCCCTGAGCCTCCTTTTCTCCAGGCTGAGCCCCCCCAGCTCCCTCAGCCACCCCTCATCACACTCGTGCTCCAGACCCTTCCCCAGCTCCATCCCCTTCTCTGGACACACTCCAACTCCTCAGTGTCTTTCCTGTACTGAGGGACCCAGAACTGAACACAGGATCTGTGGTGTGATTTCATCAGTGAACAAGGAGGTAGTCACTTCCCTAGTCCTCTGGCCACACTATTGCTAATCCAAGCCAGAATGCCAAGCTCTTTTTTTTTTTCAATAAATAAATAGAAATAATATGATTTGAATCTTGCAATAATCTGACCAATGTAGCCATGGTGGCATTTGCTTTTAGCATTTTAATAGGTTGTGAAAGAGGAATTTGCTGATATAAAATGTGTTTTAAATGTTTTCTTGTTTTGAAAGCATCTTTCAGACAGGGCAGTGGCTGTTTTTCCCCAGTAAAGAAAAATGGTTCCCTCAGATTTTTAATTCCGAGTAAAACAGTAAGGCTGACTAAAAGTCTCTATCAGATGCTTTATAGCTTTTGGGGCTATGCCTGGAGTGGTTATAAAGCCCTGATTGTATTTGGATTTGCTCTGTAAAAGAAGTCGAGCTTACAGATATCTGAACCTGTTGGGTATTTAACTGGAAAATGCTCCTTTATGCCCTGGCAAAATTGTTTTGTTCTGCAGTGTGAACCAGCTAATTTTCTCAGCTGTTTGAGGCCAGGTTATTTGTTGTAAAAATAGATCTATTTTCTCAGCCATAAAAAAGAGTGAATGTTTTGAGCCATTCTAATGATTAACAGAATCAAGCAACTGCAAGCCAAAGGATGGGTCTTGCAGCTTTGTGTGAGTGGGGGGTTTCCATGTTCTGGAAAGCTGGTTTTCCTCCTCACAGACTGTGATAAGAGACTTGAAACTGAGGTACAATCAAGTAGAACAAAATAGCATCAGCGTGTAGGGTATGCTTTAACTGCTTAGCAACCAGTAAAATTAAAGAAACTGGAGAAAGAAGCCATATATTTTATTGCCAGACAAACTGGGTTTTCTCAGACAAACAGTACTGTGTTGTAGATTCCATACAGACTACAAGGCTTCTCTTAGCAGCCATTTTAATAGCTTGAACTAAAGAATAGTCTTTATTTGGAAGATTTGAAATTGAGATGCCAAAGCAGTATCTTTTTCTTATTAATGGTCCAAAAATGGTCTTATTAATGGTCTCTTCCTTTTGTTGTTTCTTGAAATATTCCTGCTAAGTAAACAAAAAATTACGTCATTTACATTTGGTTGTCTCAAGAATTTACTAAATAAATAAAATGCTTACAAAAATTATTTTAGAGGGCCCACAGAATCTTTTAAGTGCATTAAGTTAAAACCCAGATCTGTATGCAAGCGAATTCTATTAGCAGTAAAACAGCATATTGTCAGCATTTCATGTTCTTGATATTGCCTTGCAGTGAAAATAAAACCTTGATTTGTTTTTCTGTGGTGCTAAAAGGGGCTAGCACAGCGAAGCTAAGCAGAACTCACATGACTAAGCCCCTCTAAAATCCTTGATTATCTTTAACTCCCCAGTCTCCATAATTGGAAAGCTGTTTGTAAATTTACAAACTCAAAGAATGTTTATTTGTCTACCTAGACAGGATTATTAAAAGTAGGAATACAACGCTGGCACAATTAATCTGTCTGAATGTTTTGATCCTATACTGAAATACTTCAATATTGTGCATCCCAGTTGGATAATTTGGTTCCTAATTAAGATTTTAGTGTCTGGTTTGCATGTCTACAGCTGCAACATGATGTCTGTGGAATGCTGTCACTTGTTTATTTACAAGTGACACCTCCAAAAATGATGCTGGCTTTTAAAATCTAGTAATAGTTAAAACTTGAATTTTGAGGTCACACTAAATCTGGCATGTCATATGCTGTATTTTTTAAAATGATCCTACTGACTTTTCAAAAACATTTCTAAATGTGTGTTTCAGGCACTAAATTGAGAGAATCTCTTCCCATGACTGTTCTGTCTCACTGAAAGATAATAGAAATTCTGTATCTAGACAGGAAAACTTGGATAGACTTCTTGTGCTGTTTCATGTGCCTCCCTTTACAAGGTCTGCAGCTGCAAGGGGATATGGCTCAAGCAGTGACAACAGTCTAGTTTTCTCTGATTTTGTCACTACTGATAAGAGAGGAAGCTTGCAATGAGGCTATACAGTTTAGGATCTCTACTACAAAAAGCAGTGAATTAAGACTAGTTCTAGGTGAGCGAGTTTGGCCACTGCAGCTGTACATTTTGGAGGACCTGGCCCTCATCTTTCCCTGTGGCAACTGTTTCTAGTACCTGAGCTATCTGGGAATCTCAGTCACAGTGCATACACATTATCCTAGGCAACCATATAAGCCTGTCTTGCCTTACTCAGGCAGTGCAGACTTCTTTGCAGCCTGGTTCAGAGTTTGTCTTGGGGAGTTGGAACATGACAATTTGTTACAAAAACTCTTCTGAGAATATACTCAAAGCATGAACTGAAAAAGCAAAACCTCAGCATAGTTTCAGAAGAGGGTGAACAGTGATATGGAACAGAAAGGAGATGGCAGACAGCTACCTATTTTATGAAAGTAGCCAGCCAGGAAGAAGGATATCACAGATCAGATGGGTAATACCAAAATACTGCTCAGAACAGAAAATGCTCATTGGATCACATTGGGCTGGGGGTTCAGAAGTGGCCAAATGGGAAGGTGACAGTCTGTGCACAGCTGAAGGTGCCTGCAGTTTAAGAAAGCAAATGGGGGGATTAAGGATAAGTTACTGAGTTTAAGAGAAGTGCTCTTGTTCCCCCCACAAACTATTTTAGTTGTTCTTTTTCATAAGATAGATGGGATATGGAAACCACTTTCTACCCATCTCTTTGAGAGCAATGCTTTTGAGACTTGCTGTTTTTTCTGTTGCCTGCTAGACCTCAGTGTTGCATTAGATAGTGGGTCCAGTTAATCTAAAGTGGAAAACTTGATCATGTTTAAATTGTCAGCCTCCAACAAGGACAACCTTATTGTGAAGAGTGGTGTCATATCTTACTGTTTGGTGACTGTGAAGGAATGTGTGACTACCACTAAATGGTTCTTTAAGGTGTAGGGGATTTGTAAAGATGCTTTTCACCAGCAGTTCAGTAGTTAAGGTGTTTTTAGCCCAGATCCACTGCACTTTTCTAGCAGCTCTCTTTGAAACAGTTCCAGTGAGCTCTTTCATAAGGTTCTTAAATATTAATGGGGTTCAGGATAAAGAATTATTTGAGAGCTGTGTTCCTACTTGTCCCTCTGTTGGCTTCATAAAGCTCTTCCCCAGGAAGAAAAGAAGGAAACCTGAAAGAACTTCATTGCTGGCTGCCTTTGGAAACTGTTTCAGTCCTTTCTGTGGTCAAAGAGGGAAGAGACACCAAGTTGTATTGAAAGGCAGAGCAGTTCTTCACATTACAAACTCATTGCCATGGGTCATTTCAAACTTTAAGTAGATGTGATGGATATTTATTCAGGGGAGACTGGGTAGAATCTTCGGGTTTGATCAAATCCTTTCTACACTGAAAAAACATGATTTGTTGGGCCTGAGCACTCTTAGTGATGGGGCTTTTGCACTAAGAAGTACCTTGGCTCACAGGCTGCAGGCCTGCCCTGTGTGTGATTGTATTGCACAAACAGAAGTGACAGATGCCATTGCTTACAGTTCTGCTGATGTTAATAAACTGATTTGAGTTTGAGCACATGGCCAGGGTGTTCTCTAGAGCCTGTAACCAAATGTGGGTTTTTTGATGGTGAGACAGTATGGACCCAGGGATGTGTTTTCTCCTGTAGTAGCAAGCTGATGCAGCATTTCTGCTGAATTCTTCGGCTTTTTCTATTTGGGGACAAATTTCAGGCCTCCCCGAGGGGTAATAAAAATGCAGGAGGAGGGTTATAATGGATTCAGTTTTGTCCTAATCAAACTGCAATGGCACTGTGTGGTTTACTTGCATTCAACTGAGCGTGATAAGAGCAAGGTGATGCAGCTGAGTCCCAGTCCCAGCTTCCTCCAGGCAGATCCTAGGACAGCAGAATGGGGGGAAAACATCCGTCATTTTCTATCTCATGACATTGATTAATTGGTCAGAACTGCCTCTCTGTTACTCGGTTGCACTGCTGTTGTTTGCTTCAGCCCTCGGAAAAGTCTTATTCAGAAAGGCAGATTTAGTGTGGTTACCACATAAGGAAAACGGAATAGAATGCTTTGTTTTATTAACTGCCTCTACAAACAGAAGCTGGATGTTCTGTTCTATGAAGTCAGCTATAATTTATGGAATTATATTAAAATTTTTGCTTCATTTGTAGTGTTGTATTAATGTTTTAAATTGGAAGATTGAATTATGGATTAATTTAAATCATTGAATTTTGGTTCTCAGAGGCTCTTTAGTCTTACTGAATTGTTATCACAGGATATTAAAATAAATAAATCATTTTGTATCAGTTTTGAAAATCTGTATGTTCAAACTGGGTTAAAATTCCTACCTGAGATGAAGCTATAATGACTTTTTTTAAACCTTGTCCTTCTGTTTGTCAAATTTCTATTTAAATAATCTGTGAAACCATTTTCAAAATTCTTTGCAAATTGCATTGTGTTATGTCAGTAATTTGACTCCTAATAACAAAGCTGCACAGGAATTATAGTGGAATCTCCAACTAACTGTTAAATAATTTAAAAAAATTATCAAAGAATATGGTTTTTTTCTGATCCTTGGTACCACAGTCATTCTTGTTGATAAGCTTTCTTTGATATTTATGCTGCAGCCTTTGACAAAATATCCTGAACTTATAATGTGGACCGTCTGTCAGTTTACTGTTTGTGGATGTGACTGAGAATTGTGCCAAATGGAGAACTCTCAAATCCTTCCTACATTTTTGAAATCAGTTTAGTTATGAAATTGCTGTTTGTTTTCATTTTTGCAATAAGCTTTTTAGCAGAACATTAACATTGGCTTTTAAAATCACAGTGGGTAATGAACAACGGGAAATACTTTGGATTGAGTGAGGTAGAAAAGTAGTAACAGTAGGTATGGCTGGTGTGAGGGATGAAAACGAATGGGGCAAAGGAAACCTGATGGAAGAATAACACAGAACTACTGCTGTAGGTTGGGATCATGCCCTCCTGTAATATGTTTGGTAGATTCATCTGTTTAGATGTAGTTCTTGTGGGTATAAAATGATCGTTTGAAGAAGCTCAGTAGGGGGCTTCCTGAATGTACAAATTTACATATTTGTGTATTTGTGTTTTGTTATATTGTATATTCCTAAATTTGCAAATATACCTTAAATTGAAGGTCTTAATAAGGACTGAAAATAAATTGAGATTATTTTCTTCCCCTTCTGTGTGAAAGCATTTGCTCTGGATGTAACTGAAGGACATACCTATCAGGTGTTATGGTCAAGAGAACCTGACACTTTGTAAAACAAAACTTGCAATTAATAATGTCTATACTTGAAATGCCATGAAGATTTCTCTTAATATTTTCTGCCAGATAAAAACATTATCCAATTAGAGCTTAAATGAAATGCAGCACAAATGCAAACCACAAGGCACATACAGCAGAAATAGGTTTTGTGGTTACGTGGTTTTCCTCCAAGGTGGTTAATATCGTTTTCCCCTGTCACAAGTGAAATATTTGGCATAGCAGCTCTTTGGGTGGACCATCTGAGAAGTGAAGCATCCAACAGAACTCAGCACCTCACCAGGTTTAACTTGCTTAGGGCTTTGAAAACTTAAAGGAAACCTTTGCAGCCTTTTTAATTCTGGTTAATTTGGAACAGCTTCTCATGCAACATGTGTGTCTTTGCTGTTACTGTGTGTGATTCAGTGCAGTAACCATAATAATTTCCTTTTAACTTGCAGGAGAGGCCCTGAGAGGGAAGATCGCAGTCCGCAAAAACAGAAAGGATCCACGGTCCCTCCTCATAACCCTGTCAGTGAAGGACGTGCAGCAGACCTACAGCCTCCAGTGAAAATCCTGGGCACATAACTTTGGGAGGTGTTAAAGTCAAAGAACTGTTTTTAAATATCCCAGAATGGCAAACTCTTGGATTTGTGTGCGTGTATGCACACACGGGAATATGGAAAATTTGCCTGGAATTGAGAGAGCACTGTTGGGATGCTTTTGCTCTGGGACATGGAGGCTGACAACAAAATTGGATTCTGCTGCTTCCCTTATGTGAGGAAGGCAAGAAAGATGGCTTTGGGTTACATGAGACTACTGGGTGAGAAAAATGAGTGTGAAGTCTTGCTGTGAGGAACAGTAAATATGATCTCTCAATATTGTTTTATTCTTCCACTGGCAAAATCCTTGCATAATATTTTTTTATGAAAGAAGAAGCTAAATCATGTGCCAGTGCACCTCAACAGTATCTGGAAAATCCTAATGGGACTAATTTTGGGATTCCAAAGACCATATTTTTAATACACTTCTGTAATTAAAAAGTTGTACACAGTTACATTTATCTAAATAAATGAACCCAGTATGATATAGAATGCAGTTGCCAGTTTTCTGTGTAATTGGAAATTCTCCTGTTTATCCAGTGACGGCTTATTTAGTTGTGCCTACAGTTTTTTCTGTACTAGCCTGTTGAGGCATAGGTGGATGGAAGTATGTATTTTAGCAGCTTTAGGAAAAATACTGCAAACAAAGAGCAAATGCTGAAAGGGTGGATTTGGTTTGGCTTCTTACAGAAACTCTAAACAGTCATGGGTTGACTGTTCAAGGGAGGAGGGGTTTCATGAAGATACTCGTTCCTGTGTGAAAACTGCTTTCATTTTGGGTGGTCTTGTTCAGGGCCCTTCAACTTGAATTTCTTTATACTTCTGCAAATTTTATATTTGTATAAATGTTGCCATAGTAGGCAAGAAAGGAAGAAAATGCAAAGGGAGAGTCATGCAAAGCCCTGTAGAGAGTTTGTGTGGCTCAGTAGCAGGGCTGAAAATGAAAAAAAGAAAGTTGAAAATATGTAAAAGAAAGAAGTAAATGCTATTGTAAAATAAATAAATAAGAATTAAGCCCACAAACTGTGTAAAGAACAAAGGATTTGCTGTCACTAACCAGAAGGAAAATGTCCTGAAAAGACTAATTAACGTAAAGCCTGAGGGAGGGTCATTTGATGAAGGGTTTGGAGTTTCAAAGAACTTTAAATACATGAGTGGACATTGATCTAATAGAAAGGGTCTCACAGCATCCTGGAAGTAACCCATCAATTTTAGGTGGCTTTTTTCAACCTAGCAGTTGAATAATATGGGATTCATCTGACAGCACAATCAGTTATTTACATTTCCTAATTGTAACTCTAAGAATTAAGTGTTGTAGGAAATGTGATCAATAAATACTCCTTTAAAGGGATTTTAACAATTGAGGCAGAAAAGTGGAAAGTAATTACTTAAGAGTAGAAATGCCCTTGAATTTGTCCAGTGAGAGAGAGCAATACTTCATTCAAAATGTGATCCTTTATTCTAAGGCACATGGTCAATGTGACCAAAGATGCAAATGATCTGTAACTGAATTAAGAATAAATAAATGAACCACTGTGACAGTGGCTGGACAGATCAGTTCTGCATAGTTCATGGAAACATTTCTTCCTCCAGGTGATGGTAACAGCTTGTCTTCCAGCTGCCTCTGCTGCAGGCAGATTCCGGGTCATGGCATCAAGTACTTCTGCAGGCCTGTTTAAGGCCTGTGCAGAACTGTTTAAGAAGTGGCTGCAACTTATTGCTGTGGAAAAGCAAACAGTATCATCCTTATCTTATGTGTTTTCTTTCTAGGGAGGGTGAAGACACTAATGCAGATTTACCCACGTTGGTTGTTTGTGGTCTCCGTGTGTCAGTTCTGGTTATGTTGAGATGCACGGGCAGAGTTGTGCTTCAGCACGCACATTTCCAGCTCTTCTGCTCATCTTTGCAACTTCTGTTTTTCTCTGTCCTGGAGTTACAAACCCCTAACCCATCTGCCAAAGAGGAGGTGCACACCTTCTTTAAATTCCCTTTGTGCTATGATGATAAAGTCCATTGTAGTTGTAGAAAATCTGTTTGCCAGTCATTGGTGTATAGATTTTTTTAAAATACTTTTTAACAACTGGGATAGTTGCAATTTCAGACCTGAATTGATTACTTCAGTGTGTGCTCCTGTATTCAAAAAAGAAAGAAAAAAGTAAATTGTAGAGAGACTGAATTTCACTTATCATCTGACAGCATTTGTCTGTTAGACCAGCTCATATAAATTGAGCTGCTCATCTCACAGTATTTATTTTTTAGCAGCAACATCTTATGTGACAAAGTCTTCATTTTTCCTTTTTCCTGACTAAGAAATATCAAAATGATATATTCTGTGGGAAAGTGTCTTCATTTGCAAAACCAAGGAACCTGTGTGGTAAATAATAGCAGTGTCAGGTTAAGTGTGTACATGTGTATGTCTCCAGTATTCATACTCATACATGATCATGTACACATCCATACTGCAGGATATGGAAATTTTCCAGTTGGCACCATGCATTTTCAAAGGACCACATACTAATGCTAATATTTCTAAATTCATATTGGGTTCACTGAGTGTTTTGTAGTTAAACTATGTTTTTCTGTAAAAATACACTTGTAGATTAATTACTATGATTGCGATCCTATTGCATTATCTTTGATATCCCATAATTATTTTGACACTGTTGAATGGGAAATCATTTAGAAAAAATGCTGGTTTGGCTAAGAATGGTTTGGTGGTTGTTTCTTTTTATTGGGAAAGTCTGTTTTGCCATGCTTAGTAATGAAGTCCAGTGGTTCTGAAGAACATTGAATGGACAGAAGTTTTTTATGTTTAATCCAATAGTTAACCTTTTCTCAAGGAGTATTCTTAACTAGCAGTTATCAATCTCTGTTCAAGCTTAAGTAATTTACATTATACTTAGCCCAAGGTCAGATGTGTTAAAATTGACTAGTGATTCATATAAGTTCTGTTAATATTCAGATAAAAATTGAAGGTTGGTGTGCTTTCTTGCAAATCTGTGCCCAAAGACTGAGTATTTGAAGATAAATAATCCACCTGAAAATAGTATTGGATTTTCCCACAGCTCCAGTTCTTATTTAGATGTTAATGGCATTTGGTGTTGGGTTTTTTTTAAATCTTGTCTTCTACAGTGCTTTTAAATGTTTAACTAAGCTGTAAAACTATCTTCCTGCTTCTACCCATCAGAGAGCAGCTAAACAAGACTGACAAACTTGGAAGCTGCTGGTCCTTTGCTACTGAATGTCCCTTCAGTGAGTGAGCATCATGCTGGGGTCTCTTAATAGGATTTTTGTGTGCACACCTCAGTTTGACCTTCTAAATTCTGTCCTATGGGATGTGCTGTAATGAGACAGATCCAGATAAAAGCAAAACCTCAATTTCAAATAAAGCTCTACAGAGGATTCAGAAAGCTGGTTTGGGAGATACAGTTGCTAACTTAAAAAGGTAAGCTGCTAGTGAGGTTTTAAGGCTTTTCTTTCAAGGATGTTCCTCTGCTCTCTGTTTAATAGTGCCTGAAGTTCCCTGTAGTAATGACTCTTAGCATTTTCTGTGCCTGGTTTAAATTATTTGAAGGAAAAAATTGCAGCAGTGTGTCTTCACCGAGGTTAGTGGAATGACACAGCCTGGCTATGACTGGCTGTCTGGAAAAAGGAGGAGGGGGAGTTGGAAGAGCAAGAGTTGCAAGTAAAGGCTTACTTCACTTCACTTACATCACTAAAGTGGTGATGATCTTGTTTTTAGAGAACAGGTTTAGAGGTACGATTTGCTACTGCTTTTACAGCGCTGATTGACTGCATAGTAACGGAATTTAAGGGTTTTCAAAGGCAACCAAAAATGAAGTCATGGGCATATCTCTGAATATACAAACTTACAAAGAAATTACAAAGAGATTTTATGTTATTCTGTTTATCCAGGCATTGGCAAATTATAATGCTGGTGAAGTAGTGACATCTAATTAAAAGACAAATACCACGTTACAGGGAAAACAGAGAGAAAAGCTGGCTTTTAGTGACATGAGCACTGCAGACAAATTTGCAGAAGGGCTTATGTGATTAAATAGGTGTAAAAAACATCCAGTTGGAATTACTTTTATATAGTTGGACTGGAACTTGAAGATGGTTCAGTTTTCCAGGTTTAGTAAAAGTTTAAACATCTACTGTTTGATATACTTTTTTTTACCTTCTATAAAATTCATAGGTAGATAATTAACTTCATAGGGGAAAGCAGTCTTTTTAATGGTACTGTTGAGCAGCAAAGACAGAGGGGGTCAAGGAGAAGCCTTACTGCTGGTGAGCTACTATGCACATAGAAATTAAGTTTTGTTAATAGAATATTTTAAAAACTTGTGCTTTTCCAGCACATGGATCTGTAAGTAACAGCCTGTTCCCTGATGTGTACCAACTGGCTCTGAATCTCTATCTACTTTGCTAATTCTCACATATCAAACTAGAAACAAACTTCATTTCTATGCCTTTCTGAATGGCAAAGAGTGTTACTCAGTTCTTGGAATTACTAATGCCTCCAGGTTCCAGCACTCTGAACTCCTTGGTGACCAATGAAAAAGATTCATCCCATGGAAAAACTGTACCATGAAACAATCAACTTACAGATTTATAACATTTCTATTGCTGTTCCTGTAACAATTAGCCAAAGTAAAAATAAAAGACTCTTAATGACAGTGATAACAAATTAAAGAGGAATAAAGCTTACTCGACATGTTAATTCTATTTTCCACTTGGGTACTACTCAAAACATCAGTGCAAACAGAGTGAGAGCAAATATGTCCCATGGAAAGCAAACTAACTGAAGTTAGGCTTTCACAAGTGAGAGCTACAACCCAAATAAAATTATTCTCCTTGGATTCAGTTGGCAGATGCTACAACAATCCTGCTTTAGATGGTGGTCTGAGAGGCTTTTCAAATTATTTTGTTTTCTTCCATGGAGAAGAGAGCCAGGTGAAGCTGGAGATGTCCGTTTTCTCAGGTTTGTATTTTTTCCTGACCACTCTACCATCTTGATACGTGTTATGGCCTAAAAAAAAAAAAAAGGAATAGATTTTTCCAAAGAGAGTTTCATTAACTGAGAGAGATCACATCTGTTCACCTGAGTAATGTGCAGTGAGGAGCAAGGCCATGAGTGATTCAAGTACCCACATTTGGGAAGTTACCATTGCTGAATCCCATCTCATGGCCTTAATGCCGTGCTACCAGAATATAGTCTGTGCCATATATGCTCCCCTTGGTATCACTGCATCTGGC